AAAAAAGTCAAATTTGGTGATTACAGGTGTTTCAGGACAAAATGCCATGACTGCTATATACATTCTACAAAATGCCTTGTGTAGATGAATTAGTGAAACAAATTGATCAGCCATCTTATAGTGTATTGTGATACAACGTACATCCTCTTCATTGCACGAGGTTGCAGTCATCGATATTCCTGCATCTGTCCACTGGGAGGCATTTCATTCTTTCAACTCTTCAACATTTATGTGTTTTTTTCCTTTTTCTGTCATCTTTTTACATCCTTTATACTTATCACCACACTGTGTTTATGTGATAAATTCTTAGTGTGCAGAAAACAGATTATGAAGTATGATTTTACTAACTCATCTACACAAGGCATTTTATAGAGGGTATAGGGGGTATAGGTTTGTCTTAATCTCCACATTAAATTTTTTTTTCTCAAAATAGGATTTCGACTTTTATATAGAAATTTTGACTTTCAAAATCAATAGAATAAGTAGTAGAATCTGTAGAATAAACTAGGGCAGGCATACCTTCCAAAAAAGTGTGACACGATTCCAAATGTTCACCTCTGTGTTACAGAAACAATGATTTTCATCTACATCAGCATCCCAATTCTGGCAACAACAGCCCTGGCAAAAGGTATTTAATTTTATAGTATATTGTACTGTTTTCAATACAGAAAATGTTGATTGAATTTGTAAATTTCAGTTTTGTTTATAGAATCTGTTTCATTTTATTCCATATTTTACATAAAGAAATTTTGTGTTTATTTCTTGTTTCTTTTAGGGTCAGTTGAATGCATTTTCTCAGAATCTCCTGGAACCCATTATTGTTTTGGAGCCGTAGGTCAGTCGCTAATTTTTCATCTGTCACATAAAATTGATACTACAATGGGAGTTATGAAGGATAACAAAAACTGGGTTGTAAAAACTCACAATAATGGGGCTATGATTTTAAATCATGAATATGTAAATCAACCAAATGGCATAAATAATGGAACACTGAAACTGGGTAAAGCCATGAAGAAACACTCTGGATATTACCAGTTGGAAGAACATGACTCTAATGGAAAGTTACTGAAAAAAGCGAATGTATCTCTAAAAATATATGGTAAGTGTTTATTTTATTCGGTTGTTTGCTTCAAACTCAAGCTAATCGTTATTATTGATTTATATGAATGGCTATGTTTTATTAAAAGGAGTTTTAAAAAAGCAGATGTTGTAAACCAAGTACATTAATTGTATAGTTGTTGTTTTTTTATTGGATATTACATATATACATATAAATGAGACTAAATTAAATGTTAATTCCATAAAATACCTCATTGCTTTAATCTTCAAATCTGCAAAAGCAAAAATATTTTACTCCTTTATACTTTACTGTGCAAATTTAAAAAGTAATGTAAATGTACATGCAATGTACAGTAAAACGAATATTTGAGAGAAAACCTGAATACTAAATCAAAATTTGAATAATAATGGATTGGCTTTATATAGCACTTTTCAAGGCACCCAAAGGGCTTTACAATTCTTTCACTCTCACATTCACACACTGGTGGAGGCAAGCTACAGTTGTAGCCACAGCTGCCCTGGGGCAGACTGACAGAAGCGAGCCTGCCATATCGCGCCATCGGCCCCTCTGGCCAACACCAGTAGGCGGTAGGGTAAAGTGTCTTGCCCAAGGACACAACGACCAGGACAGAGACCCCGGGATCGAACCGGTGACCTTCCGGTTACAGATGCACGTCCCAACCCCTGCTCAGGGGGTCAAGGCCCCAGGAGCATGACAAAACCCTTATGGCACTGAAATATCTCTTTGCATTATTATATTAAAGTCTTTACCTTACAATATAAAGCACCTTGAGGCAACTGCTGTTGTGATTTGATGCTGTATACATATAACTAAATTAAACCTGGAAATCCAAAATTGTAACCCTTGAATGTTATTCATCTATTATTATTATTATTATTATTATTATTATTATTAGTCAAATTGCTGTTTAAAAAAATATTGCCCCAAATGTGGGACAAATTAAATGTATATTTCTCTTAATACTTGGTGATATTTCCCTAGAAACCTTTTTTTGTGACTTAAAAAATACAGTGCAAATTAACTTATACAATATTTTATTTGTCTTCTACACTGCTTACATGATATGATTACATGTCTTCCAGCTCCAGTGTCAAAGCCAACACTGTCTCAGATGTGTTTGTCACCAGAACAGATGAAGATCAGCTGCTTCTCTGAGGGAGATGGAGTACAATTAATTTTGAGTTTGGATGGTCAGATACTTATACAAAGCAATGACCACAACCAGTCCCTAACCATTTGGACAGCCGAGTTTCCAAATGTTACCATCATCTTAGATGGAAAGCTGACTGGAAACCTTATGTGCCAAGTTTGGAATAATGTCAGCAGAGATGAAACCGTTATTCCCCTGGCAGCCTGCAGTGGTAGAATATTTAAACGTAAGATTTTCTGGGACAACACTATTTCTTTCAAAGGGAAATTGGATTTGAATTTATATGGAGTAAAATAAATAATTTACCATATGGTTTTGGTTGTCGCCTGTGAATTCTTGTGGGAAAAAGTTAGTACACATCTCCTGTGACTTCAGATGTTACTGTATGTTGAAGAAATGGATGGCAAATGGAACTATTTGGAAGCATTTTAGTATTTTGGAATTTGTCATGATATTCAATATTGTTTGACATTTGCTTTTGCATTCTAGGTTCTGTTACAACCTTGACAGTACCTTTGGTAACCAATGTCATCATGTTGTTTGTGGTTCTGATTCTGGTTATAGAACATTTTTGTAAGAAAGCAAGACCGACAACTGTTAATGAAGGTAAGTGAAGTATCTAAAACTTTGCTTTGAAAAATGTGGTGTTTTTTTTTAAACAACATAGCTTCATCCAAAGCACAATACACTTTTTGTTTATTTTCCTCCGCAGGTAACTTTGGCACTGATGTTATCTAGAGTGATTGCAAATAACAAATGAAATAAAACCAACTGAGGAAAATCAGCTGGGAAATGATCCAGCTCTGACCCTGAAGTGGTTAAGTAGTTGTATGGATGGGTTTGCTTTTTTTTTCTAAATTTTGTTTTGTTATTGGTAATTACTCTAAAATTTAGCAATTTAAACAACTAAAATGGGTAACAAGGATGAATAATGTTTATTGTTGTGGACATGTATTACAATATTACCATCAATTTACAATATTCATTTGCAACAAACACAAATGTTAGCACGATAGGAAATATCAAATGAAATAAACCCAACTCAGGAAAATCAGCTGGGAGAGGATCCAGCCCTGACCTTGAAGTGGTTATGTAGTTAAGATGTATGGGTGGGTTTTTTCAAATTGTTTTGTTATTGGTAATTACTCACAAAATTTGCTGTGGACATGGTCTGAAAGTGTTGTCATACTGTGACATTAGAGTTTTCAAGAAAATCAGTGCTCGTGTATTAATCAATACTATCAATGTACAATATTCATTTGCAACAAACAGTGTAATCTTTTGCCACCTCCACCGTTTGTCACCGTTGTAGAGAGACACACAGCTCCTCTCCTCACTAACAGCTGAAATAGTTAATGTTCATAACAGTTAATGTTCCTGTAAAGCTTCTGTTTCAACAACACTGAAGTATTAAACAGTTATCATGAATGTCAACCTGGCGGCAACATTAACATTAGCTATTAGCAGTTATCAGATATCCACATGGGCCAAATGTTATGGACTGGAGGTCATGGAAAGAATATTGAGCAATGGCAGTGCAGATTATGCTATGTCCAGAGCAGATTATGCTCTGCCACAGCATGCTCAGCTGGTTCTAATACATGGAAAACTGGCTAGCTGCTGGTTGCTGGCTGTGCAGAGTAGCACTGTAGCCGATCTGAGCAGACAGTCCAGACTGTGCCGAACTATTCCAAGCAAATAAATGGTAAGCTCTGGAGCAGTGCAGTGGCATTTCTTATCTTGTTTTGGACAGCTGTGTGGTCCATTTCAAAATGCATACAGTAATGGATTGGATTTATATAGCGCTTTTCAAGGCACCCAAAGCGCTTTACAATACCACTATTCATTCACTCTCACATTCACACACTGGTGGAGGCAAGCTACAGTTGTAGCCACAGCTGCCCTGGGGCAGACTGACAGAAGCGAGCCTGCCATATCGCGCCATTGGCTCCTCTGGCCAACACCAGTAGGCAAGTAGGGTAAAGTGTCTTGCCCAGGGACACAACAACCAGGACAGAGAGCCCAGGGATCGAACCGGCGACCTTCCGGTTACAGTGACAGAATGAGTGCTTATTTTTTTCAAACATATGTTGTTTTTAAATTTTAATTCATTTTAACAAGTAACACCACACTTTATCCAAATTTTATTTAAAAATTTTCCATAATGTTCTCCTTCATTAATAAATGATTAAGATATTAGATATTGTGTTATTTGTTACACCCTTTGTTTATTAGTAGGCTCTAAAGTATATTTTCTTTCACTAGCTCTAATAAAATAATAAAATAATTTGTAAAAAGAACTAAAAAAAAAACCTCTTAAACTTTATCCCAAATACTTATTTGGTTGAATCTAACTTGTAAACTGAAAATTAATAACTTTTAAGAAATTTGTTTTTTGTTATAAGTTTTATTGTTGCAGAATGGGATACAGATCTTCAGTATCACTATTCTACTATTGTCTCTACAGATGTATCTACAAATGCATGCTTTTCTTCCCCATATATACACATATACATGTATGTATCTTCTATAATATTACTAAACCTTTATTTTTTATCTTTGAAACAAAAAGATGAAAGTGTTTTTATACATGAAAAACAGGGGATCCTACATGTTGCTAGATGACAGGCTGATCTTGTATTACTAAAAGGCATTTTTGTGAATTTACAGCATTTTGCCTCATTTTACTGTGGTGTTATTTTATTTGCATCTCTAGTCTGTCCGTAACATGAGGAGCTTTAATGTTCAAAAGTAAACTCTGCATATGCTTTTTAATTTTTTTAATCATTCAGTCAATCTTAGTGTAGACTGGAATATTTCTAACATTTTGAGTTATTTTCCAGTGTTAGAAAACCAGCACTGCTCAGTGTTAGCCATTGTTAATCTTCAAAACTGACTAGGTTACTTTTAAACATATAACACTGTCAAAAGTGTTAATTTAACACTCAACAGTGTTGTATTTTACACTCAGAGGTGTGGACCCATATAGACACTCTAGTGTTAATTTAACACTGGAGATTTTGCTGTGTACTTTAACCACATCTCTTTCTCTTACATTCTATCAGTAGATCTGTGTTATATTGTTTCATCATAGATCAAAATAAACACCTGAAGCAGAGATGGTGTGAATGGAACAAGTTGTGGTTTAAGCACACATCGCACACAAACACGTCTTTGGTTTTCATGTCTAATGTGAAACTTCCTGTTAGCATCTTCTACCAAACTTTGGTACACTAGCTGGTACAGCATGCCACATAGCTTTGTTATGTTTTCAGGATTTTGCAATTTTTTGATTCACAAGTAATGACATTACTGTAAAGGTCTGTAAAGAAACAATTTTAGGGTCAAATCTGACTGATTTACAAATTAACAAAACTTATAATTATTGTGTTTTATATCCGATTGCCTCAAAGCCTTACGACATCCTCCACACTGTGCACTTGAACATATAAAAGTGATGAGCACCTCTTTCGTTGAATTTTGAGTGTTTCACTCAACTTTGTTACATCTGTGGTGTTTCCGGTTCAACATGACCGCCATAAGAAATGAATGGGCCCACTTTTACAACCTGCTGAACAACCCACTGAATGACCCATAGGAACCCTGGCCACTGAATAGAGGGAGTCACATAATTAGGAAGGGAGAGATTCAAGGATTCAGGTAAAATGGATGGCTACTTGGTCCATGAGCCACGTCAAACAGCTAAAGTGTAGCTTTAAAAAAAAACAACACCTTTTTCATTGGATTTTGTATTCATATACATTCTATGGCACATATGGCAGGATAAAAGCAATAAAAACACAAGACACTCAAAAAACAAACAAACAAAAAAACAAAAACAGTACAGGTTACTGTGTACATTCCCAAATTTAGTTACTGTACATAGTTTTCATTACCTCACTCTATCTCCACTTCGTCAACTTCCCCATTTTTAATAGTTCCAAAAAACATCTTCCAAATGTCAAAAAATTCTGAAGGTCTTTTCCTAATCACCTGTGCCCAGACTGAACTGTTGCTGAAGAACTCATTCTTCTCCCTTAAGAGAGGCATCAAAGTGGTAACACACAAATCACAAAACCAAGGAAAAAAAAAAGAAAAAAAGAACTGGACTAATAAGGAATCCTGACCTGAATAATGACCAAAAAAGGACAACTGGAATATTGAGCTCAATAGGACTGTTTTTGGGGTTATTTTTGTTATGTTATGACGCTGGATGCAGTGGATTGCGAGTGTGGCAGCTCAGATCCGGTCCTGGCCGACACCGCCACCACTCTCACTGGTGTGCGGAAACGAAGAAGTGGAGAGCACAAAACACGGACTTTTGGCAGAAGACACGACACAGGAGTTGAGGGAACGCACTGGGATTTATTGTGTTAACATTCCCCACATTGCCATGGCCTGCCACGGGGACCATGACAGGGTGGAAGTGCCTGGTGCCCAGCAGGAGCCCACACCCATTCCGGCTCCCTGGGGGAGGGCCGCGGAGCAACCACCGTGTCCTTGACTTGCATAGCTGGCACCGGAGAAGGAGGTCGAGATGAGAAAATTTGCTGTCCATACAGACAATATTGATTTGTAAATGATTAACTAACAACCTTTCAACACAAAGCTCTTTATTTGTAGCAAAGTTCTACAAGAAAGATAACTTTAAATGTGCTTGTGCTTAAAGTGCTTCACCGAGCTGAAATTTAAACTTAAAACATCTCAAGATATATTCAGTTGAAAAAAAAAAAAAATCAAAAGTCCCTCAAAGTGTCAAAGGCTTCACACTGAACATTTCAATATCTGAACAGCTTGATATCTTATGGACTGTCTTCCATTGCAGCCACATGCCCCTCAGATGGCCAACTCCTGTAATTTGGCCTTCTTGATCTTTCGCCTTGGGTGAACCAGCTTGCCACACTCTCTCTAGCTTCAAAATCTTTCAGACTTGGCCCCTCCACACTTATTCTTATCAGGTCATCCACTGTCTCTGAATGAAGGGATGTTCTTGTGTCTGATTTAATTCTTCTGTGCAGAGAACCCTCTTTCACATACCAAAGCTGAGACAGGTAGGGCCAGCATAATGTTTACAAGATGCAGGGTCAGAGAGAAAAATAAATTCAAGAGATTTATTTAAGCAGTGTGTTACACAGCAAAACTCACACAATCTTAGGAAAGAACACCAACAAAAACTGACCTTGTACTCTGAGCAGTACGGCTCTCTGCTCAACATGAGCTCCCAAAACATCCTGGCAATTAACAGCTTCAAACTTATAAACTCTTCTTTTGCAAGCTCTGTGTTTACACCATTTCTGAAAATGATGTGGATTACACAGCTAATCAGTGTTCACATGAACAAAATATCTACAACCAGCACACATGATATTGTAGTAATCCACCAGCTACCTTTTCTTGACTGTGGAGAAGTGATCCAGGAGAAATGCAAGGTCATCAGCACCATGGTCCACTAAATCTCTTGGTTCTCTGGGCAGCTATCATGATTGAAAATGTTGAAGCAAGTGACAGCTTTGGTTGTGGCTGACTCAGAAGCACTCTCTGTTGTCAGAACGAATACATTTTAGTAAATGAAAATAACAACATAACAATCCTGTTAACAATAATAACAACATTTCTTATCTACATGTATTTAATACACTTGCCTAGGAGACTACTGAATCTTGCTTTGAGATTTTTCACAGTGGATTAGATTGTTGCATCCATTACTTTTTTAAGTTTAGTGGAAGTAACACCATCTTTTGCCACCTTTGAGTGTTATTGTCTGTGCAATGCATAAACCATGAATAGGGATTGTGAGTTTGATATTAGAAATATTTGTACAAATAGACAAAAATAATAATAAAGTAATAAATAGTGTTCTCTGTTTATATAAAAGACACAGCCACATGTAGGCCTACCTGGAATTTGTAGATTGCCATTTCACCCTCTTCATGCTGCTGCCTCCTCTATAAAAAAAAAAATCAACAACGTAAGAACAAATTAATCAAAAGCTTTTCTATATAAAAATGTCTTCAGCTGTTTTTAAAAGAACCAATGGAGTTTGTACAGCGTAGAGACAGTGGAAGAGAATTCCACAACCGTAGTACCACTGTCTATAAGCACTTTGAATCACCTTGTTGTTGAATTGTGCTATACAAATAAACTTGCCTTGCCTTGTCTGAAAGGCCCAATCACCACGAGTTTTAAAACGAGTGCGCGGTACCACCAGCAGTCTCTGATATAATGACCATAAAGCTCAGGAAAATGAATGCGATTTCAGTAGGTCAGATAAATATTGGGGAGCTTGACCATGTACGGCCCTAAAGGTTAGAACTAAAATTTTAAAATTAAACCTAAAACTTACAGGCAACCAGTGAAATGAGGCTAAAACTGGAGTAATATGAGACCTTCTCTTGGTGCTTGATTAAGAGACGTGCTGCAGCATTCTGCACAGTCTGAAGACGATTTAAGGATGATTTGTTAAAACAAGTAAAAAGACTATTACAGTAGTCTAAACGGGAAGAAATAAAAGCATGAATAAGTTCAGACTTTGACACCATTAGTCTGAGTTTTGAAATATGAAATGATAAAAACAGTTCCCGACAGACAGTCTTGTTCTTGCAACCATCTCCTCTGTGGTCACCAGCAGTTGTTCCAGGTTGCAAACAGCCTGTTTAGGTATAACAGTGCAGTATTATTAAAACAGTTGAAGATGACCACAAACACAATTCAAATTTACACATCCTACTTCATCTCCCTTACCTGTGGTAGGATAATATCATTCCTCTGAAGTAGGAGGCTAAACTTACTAATGCCACTGAACACATTTACAATAAAATAGTAAAAGGCCACAGAAGTGGCATCTTCCATTGATTTCTTAACCTGTATGATACAACAATAAAATTTAGTCACCTAGAACATTGATGATCAAGATTCTTAAAAAATATAAAGTCAATAAAAATTGCATAAGTGGCTGTAATGAAAAGAATATTCTGAAATAATGCACTGAACGTTGTAGCTCGGCCTGCAATGTCTGCATTGGCAGAGGAACCTGCCAAATAGTCCATGTGGTGGTACACAGCAAGATGACGTCATCATTTTAAAAGGAAACAATTCTTTGTTCTTTTGTTCTGGATTGACTCGCTGCAATCCTTTTAGACTCAGGACTTCTCATGTGATCAGTGTCCCATATAAGTGAATTTCTCCCAAGCCCATTATAATCATGGAGAAACACACTTTGCAACTGTTTTCCGTAAGAATATTTCATAGCGCTTTAAATTTCAATCTTCCAGGCCTGGTTTAAAGAGCTGATTGTTAAATCATGGACTCACAAAATATCAACATTTATCACCGGTGGATCATACCTCTCAGATTTTCTTATCTCAGTGCACTGTAACAAAAACGAAAACAGACGTAACCAACAAAATACTACTAAAATAACACATACTAGGGCCATGCTTGGACATGTCCCGTCTCTTAGAGAACGGGACATGTCTCTCTCTTAGAGAAAGAACACAACCCAAAGCTCACTGATAAAATCAAGCTAGCGCCAAGCAAAAACCCAAAAATCAACCAGAAATTCACAGAAATTTTTTTGCTTCTCCTGGGACAATATTGTGTGGGAACAAGAACCTCAGGTACCGTAACACCTTTCGTTCCTCCTTGAATTAAATCTCAATCACAGAAAATGCGGTACTCCGACCTAAAACTTACTCCATTAATTCATCATTTTCACTCTGTGCCACTGTTCCTCCCCAGGGCTATGTGAAGCACAATAAACAATTCAATCAAGGCCTTGAGCCATAAACAGACACCACGCACAGACACTGTTTTCATAACCAAACTGTTTTAGACCTTATTCCTTAAATCTACATAAATGTCCTCTGGGTGTCATAAAACACATTCTAAGTAATCAATGGCTCCTCATAAAGATTATGTATTGGGATGTTTGTGTGCAGCATTTTGCATATCAGCATAAGCATTTGTTAGCAAAGCATTCTTCATTGCATCAGCATGTGTGTGTGTGTGTGTGTGTGTGTGCGCATCACTCTTCATTGCACAAGCGTGTGCATGTATATGTGTGTGCATCACTTCTCAGTGACTCAGCATTTCAATTTAGGTGTGTGTGTGTGTCATTTCTCACTCAATCAACGAGTGCACATGTGTTCATGTGTGTATTTCACTTCATTCTGAATCGGTGTGTGTGTAGACGTGTGTGTGTGTGTGTGTGTGTGTTCATCACTTCCCTGTTCTGGTGTCTTGGGTAAAACAAGACACCAGAAGCGTGCCCTGGGGTCCTGCCCTCCTCCTTTTCAGTCTGTTTGCGACCATTGCTGCTGCTGCTGCTCAAAGTTCTGTCCATCCTGGTTCTGACCCCAATTGGGGCAGTCCTTTCTCCAGTGTCCATGCTCACCGCAGGTGAAACCTGCATCTTCTTCTGTGTTTTTGTCCATTCTGAGGTGCCTTCTGACCTCAGTTACTCCTCCTGTCTCGGTCACGCCCTTTTTGCTGCCCGATCATCCGTGTTGGTCCATCACTGTCCTGCACAGTGTTAATGCAGAGTTGTTAAGGTCAGCATTCCTTTGCTCGGCCTTACTTTTCATTCGGGCTTGGCGGGCGTCTCGTCACAGCTCTGTCAGCTGAAGCTGTCTGAGAATTTTCCCCCGTGTAGTGAAACGGGCCTTGGTTTTAACGCTCTCCGTCTCTGCTGCATGAGATCGCTTCCTGCAGCATTGTTGACATTTTCAGGTTGTTGTTGTGGGTCCAGCTGTTGCATTTGGTCAGGGTCACGTGAGAGGGAGAGAGCAGGAGTCCAGGTCAGCCTCGGCTTCCAGGGCTCGGCAAAGCAGCCTGTAATTAACATAAAGAGAAAAAACAAAAACAAAACAAAAACAAACGAACAGGAAAATGATGTTGTGTTGGCTGTATTACAACGAGAGGGGAGAAACACTGGGACAGGCCCTGTGTCAGCCTTCTCTCCCCCTTTTTTTTTTTTTTTTAAACAAGGCATTACCTTACAAAGGAGCCTTTCTCTCACATTTCTCTGCTTGTGTGTGTTTTTGTTTCACCTTTTGTTGTGATGCTCCGGACGCCTTCCCAACCTCCACAAGTCTGTTGGCCCCAATTTTATGTGTTAAAACTTCTCTTAATTTCTCCTCTAATTCTCTCCTCGCTGCTGTCTTTTCCACAGCTGCTGATTCTTGCTGAGTGTGGTTTCCATTACTATAATTTTGCTTCGGCCGCTGTGCTTGTGGGGGCAGTTGGTCCAGGCCCGTAGCCACCTGTATTAACACACTAAGAGATTTATTTAATATCATTTTCATCACTGTTAAATAGACCAGCAGGCAACATGCCCAGCTTTTCAGTGCAGACTGCATGCCAGTCTCCCAACACACTCCTCTCTCTGCTTCTCAATAATTCTCCACTCTCCCTCCATTTCACCTTTCTCTACGTCAGATTTAAAACCCAACATATTTCACACCACTACTCACCTCTTACTGCTTTGACTCCTCTTTTTCTTTTTTTTTAAAAATTACACCACAGAGTAATACACCCAATTCTGCCCGTCTATCTCTATGTGGCTCCAAATTCCCTCTTTATTTAATTTCACACTCGTCAGGGGACAGGCAAACAGCAATTTCAACCACTGAAGCGAGGGATTCAACCTTTTTATATTTCACCTATGATAGAACTCAACCTTAGATGTGAAAGCATTTTCTTGTTCTATTCCAGAATAAATGTGAACCTGTGATTACACGGCCGTTCCAGTGTTATTCTGTAGCTATGCGGGGGTTCTCACATCCCCAAGTCACCACCTCGGCACCCAGGGGGGTTGCCACACCATGAACAAACTTAATTTCCACAGGTACACTAGGCGTCAACCTTTGATCTTAAAGCATTTTCTTCGCACTAATGTCCTCCTATTCACACATCAACCGTCACTGTGACTGTGTTCACGCTTCACACACAGAAACACACCCAAAGCGCGCCTCCCACACACAGCGCGTTTCACCAACAGTGAGACCCACAGAGAGCGCTTTTCATCGGCGGAAAGTTACACAGAAACCTCTAAGCTCAACTGTTAGAACTCTTCCGAAGCACAACCATACACCAGGTACCCTTTTCACTGCGCTTATGACCGCCACAACGGGGCAAAGTCGCATCGTAAAAGTGATGCACGTCCCCGATGCTCAAAACCGACACCATAAGCCAGCGTCTGCTTTACTTTTTATTTCATACCAAGTAAAAATTTTTACTTATTAATTTCATGACCGCAGCCCTCGATGCACAAACCGACACCATAAATCACCGTCAAACCTCTATTCAATGTGCTGAACTCAGCAACCCCTCACTGCTGCACTTACGGCCGCATCACCAGAACACGGCCGTATCATAAACCAAAACCTACGGACGTGTTTCGCTTTACGCGTTGCCAGCGCTTAACCGCACCGTAAGCCAGCATCTGCTTTTCCTTAATTCTATACTTATTTTATGACCGCATCAACGAAGACTCAACCGACGCCATAAACCAACTTCAAAACCTCTATTCAATGTACTGGACTTATGACCGCATCTCCAAAAGAGATTCTAATGTATTATTGCTACAGAAGCCAGTCTTAGACAAAGTTAAATGTGGAAGGTAAAGTGGGCTGCAACTAGCTCAACGTAGTGTATTCTTAGTATTCTTGGTAGAAGCAGTTTATCTTAACACACTGGAATTCAGCCTCAACTTATGTTGTTAGTATCTTGCGCCAAAAACCAGACACCGACAAATTTAATGTGAAAATACGTGTAACTCAGCGAACAGATTAATTTGGAAAGCCCAATATGCACATTTGGTATTTATAATACAACAGGCTGTGCTTACCTTTTTATATTTGGACCAGTCCTCTGTTCGCCTTGCCTCACGATCTCACAGCAGGCCAAATCTGCCCCTCCTCAGCACACCAAAGATCCGGGTCACCAGGCACCAAGTTGTTGAAATCTCCCAATTCTTTTAATCTTTGGGCTGAAGGAAGGACAATACTCGGTGTATAAATGCTCAATCAACAATCATTTATTTCCATACAATTCAACACAAAGAGCATTAAAACGTCCGGACGGGAGAGATGCTGACAGAGGGTTAGCCGCATTTCTCAACATGGTGGCAGATTTCACAGCTTCTTATACCCTCTAGTGGCCCCCACCTAGTCGTAAAAGCCTAAACATTCACATTCTTTCTCTGTTACGGCGCCTAAGTTATGACCTCGGCTCCCTGTCTTTCTGCTCTCTGTAAAGGTGGGGGTATGGAATGTGGTCTGTCTCTTCTATTATCGGCACAAGGTCCTCTGCACACAACATTCTCTTCATGATTCAGCAGTATGAAATGTCAAGAAACAGTGTAACACATTCAACAGTGTCAAATAATACAGGTCAATCCAATAGATATAATGATTTTCACACTCTTAAGTCAGAACATAATTCAACTACTTTAACTACAGATATAAGATAGCATATGATAACAGAATAATCTCACACTACCCTGGTTTCAGAACAGTCTCCACGGCCCTTGAAACATGTGGGAGCCACCTCATCCCCTTCACCCCACTGGGCATCAGCACATTTACTCCCAAGTCAACCCCAATGACCCTGAGCTCTCTCGTATCGTTTTAGCCCAAAATCAGTGTCTTTCAAATCAAATGGAGAAGGTCATACAACTGCCTGATCATTGAAATGTCCCTCTGAATTGACAACATATTATAACCCCTCAGCAAATATGTCATTGGCTCATAATCCCCATGATAACCAATTCTAGCGGATACTGACGGACATTCAAGAAGTCATCAGTTCACCTTGTGATACCGCTACACTCTTTAATCCTTGGACAAACTTCTCAGCCTCTGCTGTGGTTTCAAACTCATGTATTTGTCCATCAGACAGCACTCTGAGTTTAGCTGGATAAGTTATTCTGTAGCGTATGTTCATCGAACTCAGCTGTTGTTTTACCCTGTCGAAAAACCTCCTTCTGTGGTGTAGCTCTGCCGATAGATCACAGAAAAACAAAATCTCCCGCCTGTCATGCGTAACTTTGCCTATGGGCCTGGCTGCTCGCATCATTCGGACTTTATCCCAGTGTTGGGTCGATTAGAATGTGTCCAGTCGGGCAACCTATGTGCTCTTTCAATGTAGAGTGGTGTCGGAAATGTTTCAGGTCCCAGAACCTCAGGGAGCCACTTCTCCAGGAAAGCCACCGCATCATGTCCTTGCATTTTCGCCGGCACTTTGGATCAGCGAGAGCGGTTTTCGAGCTTGTCAAGTTTATTTGTGTGTTTAACTAGCGCATCAGACTTGTTTTTCTCTGAGTTAATTGTGTCTACTGCGTTGCTAATTTGCACTTCGGCTTCATCCATGCGTGCCGAGAAGTCCTGCACATCCCTCTTAACATCTTGAATTGCTTTCAAGACCACATCAATTGGAAAAGTCATTTCTGATCTAGTCGAGTGGCAGAGTAACATTGGGACTAGCATCATCTGCTGAGTTAGCTTGGCTGCTAGCATACAAGACGCCGTCTTCCTCATTTGGAGAAAAGTTAAACTAACTTTGTTATGTGCCTTCTTCGCCGGCATATTCTCGCAGGTTACAATAATAAATCTCCACAGGTGTTAAATTTCTACTCTTTCTGGAGTTAGAGTAGAGATTTTCAGGAGCTCACAAAAAGTGAATATACGGAACACATATGGAACATATGGATGTTCAGTTCAGCGCCATAACCATGCCTTCAAAGTGTAGCTTTTAATCATTGTCACATGCTGCAGTGCGACATTCCATGTCCCTATAAAAATATTTGCGATTTGGACCACATGGACCCTGACAGATCTACAAAGCACTGAAGACCTACATTCTCTTCTGTGACTGAAGCTTACAGGAGGGCTTGCAATTTTCATGTTGGGCCCAGCCTGGCCCAAAGACCTAAGGCCAGGCCACAGGCACCCTCAGCGGAGTAGAGGGAATTTTCTCATTTTACTCATTGTTGCTAAACACTACATAAAACCTATTATTTGTCCTGACAATTGCCCTAGTACTAGTGAATGGACTGATTTCTTAATACTCTTAACACAAAACAAAAGAGACCAGAAACACCCACATCTAAATGCTAAATTCAAAAGCCAGCCAGTAACCTTGTTAAATGTGGTAAATGACTTTTACATTTTTACATGAGGAGGAAATTGTGTTTATTTATTTATTTATTTTCTAAAAATAACCTTTATAAATTCCTATTCCCAATTCTATGTGTCTCCTCCCTTTGTCTCCCCAGTCTGTCTTGTTCCACCAAGCATGTCTTTCTCCCGGATTGTTAATGGATTATCCATTAACTATCAAACCAATTTATATCAACTACATGCATAACATGTACAGTAGTTGATATAATTTCCTTTTAGCATAGTACCTAAATGTTGCTTTACCCATGTTGGCTGAGTAAGACTAGACTTCATATTAATCAGTGTACTTAGCTAACACCTCTACTAATAGCCAAAATGCAGTTTATTGTTGTTGTCGCTGATGCTGTTAATGAGTAATGAGCGATTTTTAGTGTCTGCATCGATTTTATCATTAATCATAGTGCTAATGTACTAAAACAAAGCTTTGAAGGAAACTTGCTGTGGCTAATAAAAAAATGGAGATGAAAGTGAAAAACGAGAAGGATAATTTTTAATGAAAGGGTTAAAAATCATGTTTATTTCTCATATATAGCCACTTGGGGCGGTGGCTCAAGAGTTCGCCTTGTAATCGGAAGGTTGCCGGTTCGAGCCCCGGCTTGGACAGTCTCGGTCATTGTGTCCTTGGGCAAGACACTTCACCCGTTGCCTACTGGTGGTAGTCAGAGGGCCTGGTGGCGCCAGTGACCGGCAGCCTCGCCTCTATCAGTGCGCCCCAGGGTGGCTGTGGCTACAATGTAGCTTGCCATCACCAGTGTGTGAATGGGTGGATGACTGGATATGTAAAGCGCTTTGGGGTCCTTAGGGACCACAAAAACGCTATATAAATACAGGCCATATATTACTACTATATTACTATAAAGCCTGATCTTGTAATAATAAAACAAAGGCAGTTTTGTGAATTTACAGCCTGTTTCCCCTTTTATAATGGTGTTTTTTTCCTTTAGATACTAGACTTGTACATAGCACTGCTTCAAATCTAAAAGTCAGTATCGCTAATGCCTACCTTGACAGTCTAAATGAGTACATCTGAAAATGATGTCCAGCACATAAGGAACATACATGCTAAAAAGTATTCTATATAAGGGACTGTAACCACATCTCTTTCTCTTTCATCCTGTGTAGCGGTTCTGTTGTTTTTGTATCTATGTAGATAAAAATAAACACCGTCGTTTGTTACCGTTGTAGGACAGTAAGAATGGAACAAGTTGTGGCTTAAATAGATCCTATCATGCATTGTTTTTTCTACTGTCTACTTCCTGTTTGTTTGTTTTAGCAAACTTTGTTAATGTTGCTGAGTTCACATGCAGAACATGAACCCCCTCTTATACACCTAGAGCATAAGACAACTCTTACTGCACAACACACAGTTGATGCTTTGTTGTTATATTTAATATACTAATATGCAATCAAGCACAGACTCAGGGTAGCATGGTTTTGATCATCTTTTCTCTCCATACATTTTTCTTCTTCTAAGTTAATATTGGTTTCTGTCCCAATAATTTGTGTTAGTAAAACTATGTCCAGTTGGTTAGTGATCACCAATTTTTCTGTCTGTATCTGGAAGTCCCCAATCCCACAGGATCTTAGATGGGTATTCTCAACCACCCTAAGGGCGCATCCCATTTTGACCTTTGGTCTTCTAGGCCATACTCGCCATGGTATTTTTCCTGTATACCATGCCCGCCAGTTAGTTATGATGTTCCATGTATGCCATGCCTGCTACAATCTTGTATCCTGCTGTTATGTGCTGGATTGTTTCAAGGGCACCTTTGCATAGCCTGCACCTGGGGTCTTGTCTGTGTGGTAGACCCCAGACTGTATGGATCTTGTGCTTAGAAATGTTCCTGTACTACATTAGCCATGATCTTCTCTTTCAGGTCAGCTGATACTTTGATCAAGTAACACTTTGTCAGTTTCTCTTGTGAAGACAGGTAAAACTTTAAGTCTTGAGGTCCCATTTAGTTTTCAATTTTATTGAGGCATGGAAGATCCTGACTTTAAATGTGGTCACAAAATATTTAACCAAGAATTACAAATACTTATTACAAATAAGTAGTTATAACAGCTTACTTAACACACTTTCAACACAATCTCAATTAAACAAACAACTAGCTCATTTCATAATCTATATGTTTCTAAATGTATATCTAATTATGTTGCCATAATATCATTTACTTGATAGTGTGGACCAAGTATTACATCAACTACAAACAAGTCTTAAATTTTTATTTTTTTTATTGTTAAATCATATTTTACAAACTAAACAAAGTTTTGTTAAAAATGCTTGTTCATCCAGTCATTCCCTTGTCTGTTTTGTAAATACATGCTAGCAACATTATGTCAAGTTGAATTCCCAGTAAAAACAAGAATGGACATGATCTTGTTAAAAAAATATCTTTCATAACCATATCAGGAATATCTTACTATCTGATTTGGATATCTGTGTTTTTCTCATTTGCTCATGGCTCAGAGTCCTTCGGCTATTTTTCTTTGCAGAAAGAATAAAAGAAAACATAAAGATGCTGTTGGAAAATAACTTTAATAATAATTTTGCAAAACTGATAATAAAGAGAGAGAACCATTTCACAAGGCTTTTGTAAAGTTGTGATACTATAAAATGATTACCCACTGTTTCTGAATACTACATGAATATTACAACAGCTCACTGTCACCATAATGACAGTAACACATTCAGGACTTTAGTAGAACTGCACGAAAATAGCTGCTTCCTCAATTATCTCTACACAAGACAGTGAGAAGACATATATACCACCCAGCTGTCAGTGGGAAATTCACTGTCCGTTCTAGCAACAAAAAGGACCTCGTACTTTAAATATGGTGAGTACCTTTTACAGTTTTGACTGTTCCAATTACAACATCAATTAACAAACAAACAAAATTCTAGTATTTCAAAAATGCTAATTATGGAGATAATCCACAAATTATGAATAACATTATCCATATTTCTATATTATTATTGCAAATATGAAAGTGTTTCTTTAGACAAAAGTAAACCTGAATCTGGTTGACTGAGTATTAGGGCCACATTAAGAAAAAAAAATGTATTGATCATTTTAAGAATAAAGTCGAAATGTCAAGAAAAAAGTCCAAGTAGTATATTGAGAAAAAAAAAGTTGAAATACTAAGGGGAAAAGGGAAAACATATACAAATGTGGAAGAGTTGGCTGGAAAATGACCAAGGATGTATGTTATATCACAAGACACAATATATCGGCTGATCAATTTGTTACAAACTCAAACTCATCTACACAAGATGTTTTGTAGAGGTATGGCAGCTGTAGCAATTTGTCTTGAAAAACAACTGTTTTCTCCACATTTTGATTTTTTTCTTGCAATAGTATTTCAACTCTTTAATCAAAATAGAATTGCAACTTATTCTCAAAATTATCAGTAATATATTTTTTTAATGTGGTCCTAACGCTCGTAGTTTGTCCGATATACATGTCACTATTGATAAGAGTTTGATTCTGCCATGACAGAAAATGATATTGACCAGCATGATCATTGCAGCTCTGACAACTGCTCCTCTGGCACAAGGTATGCTTCAACAATTACAAACTACTATGTCATTCATCAAAATTACTATAAACATTAAAAAAAAGATACCAATATTTAATACAGTGCTGTATTATGTAACGCCAGATAACTATGTCTTTAATACTGATACTCACGCAGCATTGCCTCAGGCATTTAAAATATAACGAACGAATGAATGCAAAAATTAATACATACATAAATAACTTTCATTTGCAGTTGCTGTTATTCATTTTTTTTAAAGTTATCCAAAGTATCTGGTTTTCAATTTAGTGAATAGTTGCTGGTATTCATAAAGTATATCACAAGTAACTAAAAAGAACAGTTTTCCCTTTTTGTATTTTTAGGTTTTTACTTTTCTTTAATATTTTTCTTTTTTCTCTCTATAGGGTTTTCAGAGTGTAATCTAACTCAGCCTAGATCCCATAAGTGTTTTGGAATATTGGGACAACCACTCAGTTTTTACTTACCTACTAGTCTAAACACAATGATCGGATTGAAGAAGAATACGGATATTATTTTAAGCTTAAAAAATTACTCCTTACTAAATATAAATGAAGAATACAAGAGTCGTTCTACATTCTTCACAAATGGAACATTTATGCTCAGCAGTGCAACAAAAAATGATTCTGGAGAGTACACGATGGAAAAACACTCATCTAATGGTTTGTCATTGCACAAAATAATTGTAGAATTGGACATACTAGGTAAGACAACAATTCCCATTTTCTTCATATAATATATGTGTAACAGCAATAGTGCATATGATATGGATTTACTGTAAAGGAGAAAATAAACAAATTTCATTACAAATGTCTTTATGCATGCTCACCGTTTTCAGTGGGAGAAACATTTGAAAACGTTCCGTCCAGATGAACAGAATCAACCCTTTGGGGTACATTACAAATCCCCATTCGTTTTAAATGTTTTGTGCCTAGATTAAAAATGTTTGTTTTCAAGCAGTTTGTCTAAAAGTCAAAATTTGCCACCTGCATTTTCTTTAGTGAGTTTTCAAAGTCCCTGGAAGCAGAGTTTCTATAGTATTTTTATATCAATTATTTTGATGTAATACTACTCTTTATTTTTTTTATACACGTAATAACTAGTTGCATAGATGACATATACAACTGCTGTGTTGCATCTTTTACTGTAGACAGCTCTTAAACATACTTTGTAAACTACAGTTATGCAGTACATTTATCAACTAATGTCTCTAAAGAAGTAATTTGTTTAATAGTTTCTAGTTCTTCTAGGCAACAGTTTCCAGTTGGCATCACATTTTTAAGTGACTATAAATTTTTTTTTCAGCCCCTGTGTCAGAACCAGCTATATCACAGACGTGTTTGTCACCAGAACAGAAGACAGTGAGCTGCTTCTCTGAAGGAGATGAAGTAGAGTTCACGTTGTCGTTGCATGATAACTCATTGATACAGACCAGACCCAAGAAAACAGACAAACACAACGTTTTAAACATTACCATCAGCTTACATGGTCAGCTGATGGGAATCTTGACATGCATTGTTCAAAACAATGTCAGCAGAGAACAAAGAGTCATCCGCCTTAGAAGCTGTACAGGTAGAGTCATGACATTTTATTTTATCTGAATATCTTTTAAAATATATATATTTTTGGTTTGTGTATTTTGTTGTAGCTATTTGGTATAAGTGTGTGCTTTGATTCATTTTACAGAAAAAAAGAAAGAAAATGATCTAGCTTGCATTTTTAGTTTATAGATGTTTACAGTATTATGCACCAAATTCTTTTTTTTTTTTTTTTTTGTTTGTTTATTTTAGTTTATTTTATTTTCACTTACTATGCACCAAATTCAAGTATGCATCTTGGGCTTGAGGTCGTGTAGCCCTCTAAATGAGAGTGCATTATCTCAGTTCCGTATTAATGTTGTTTTTTATATCTTCTAGATACAGTTTCTCACCTCTCTGTTGTGAATGTGGTTGTGGTGACAAGCATTTCCATTCTACTTCTGGTTTTGGCCCTATTTCTTGGTATGAAATGTTTCAATAAGACAACTAACCCCATCACCGTTAATGAAGGTAAAATATACATGTTCACTTAATGTTCTTGTCTTTATAAACTTGTATAAAAACCTGGACATTTCTGAAAACAATAATAATTAATACAAATATTTGAAAAAAAAAAATAGAAATTGGAAAGTGTGCATTTATGTATTGGGAATATGTACCTTATTTTACCATTCTGTATGATGTAAAAAACAACAAAACAATGTTATTCTTTAACTATGCACAGTTAAAATGTCTTATTTTTTTTTTACTTCTTTCAGTTGATGCAGAAGAGGAGGTAATCTACTCAGATGTCAGAGTGAAGCAACAAACAAAGAAAACAACAACCGCTTCACTTCAAAATGCAAATTAATTTCCTAATGAAACATGAGAAAATGAAATTACATATAATTTCTCTGTACATAGCAAATGCTTAAGGTTAAACCCTGGCTTCTCTCCTTTCCATGCAAAATATCACTGGGTGGAATGCTAACCCCAAGTTGCTCTGTGATGCATCGTAGTATGAATCTTGTGAATGGAAAGTGCTGTGTGTGAATGAGGCAACTTGTATAAAGTGATGTGATAGAGTAGAAAAGTGCTATATAAGAACCAGCACATTTACCTTGTTTTTGTTTGTTTGTTTTTGTTGTTGTTGCTTTTGTTATTTTACTATTTTTCCCTATCTACAATAGAAATGTCTTTAAACCCCCCCCCCAAAAAAAAAACAAAAAACAAAACAATGTGTCCACAGTAAAGTGAATAAATAAATAACACAGGACATTTTTGCTGTTTTTGGTAACAAAAACTTTCTGGCTTATATTTATTGATATACCAGGGGGCGCAGTTCTAATTGGAAGTCGATTCACTTACACTTTCTACACATACAACCATGCATGTTTTCTGCATTGAACCAGGGTTTCTATAAATATAACAACAGAGGTTGTGCACACTGACAAGCAAGATATGCAGGAAAAAGTGACACTTGATTCTGTTTACTGCAGAACTGTTTCTGAACATGAAAGGATGGCACTGCATGTGTTTTTTTAATTCAAAATTGAAATTTAAACACAAAATGATTATCGGTTATTCCTGTCAGAGAACAGTGTATTTAAAACGAGATACAAAAGGGCAAGTCAGACAGAGAGCACCATGACTACAACCCCCATATATGTCCTGTCTGCTCAAATCCAGATAAATGCAATCAAATCGATTCGCCAGCATTTCATAATACAGATGAACAATGACTCAAAACATATAGTCAATGCAACCCAGGCCCTTATTAAAGCAACGAAGTAGAATATTCTTGTATAGCCAAGTCAGTCACCGGACCTTAACCCAGTTGAGCATACATGTCACTTGTTGATGATGAAACTTCAGAAAGAAAGGCCCACAAACAAACAGCAACTGAAAGCAGCTGCAGGAAAGACCAGGCAGAGCGTTAAAAACGAGGGAACCGAGCATCTGGTGACATCCACGAGTTCAAGACTTCAGGCAGTCATTGCCAGCAAAGGGTTTTCAGCAAGTATTAGAAATTAACTTTTTTTTCCCGTTACTTAATTTTTGCAGTTGCTTTTGAGGCCCTTTAGTTCCTCACATGTTTATGCAATATTTTTATTGCATCTGTAATGGAAACCTTTGTAAAAAAAAAAAAAAAAAAAAAAGGAAGAAAGAAAAAGTTAAAAGGTAAAATCTGTTTCTTTCTCTCTGATTGTGGAATAAAAGTATGAACATGTGTTTATAAGTTACACTTGTGTTTGAATCCTGCAGCTTATCACACATTTGATTTCCATGTGTGACGACTGCAAGTGTCCAGAGTGAGGACAGACTGAGGGACCCACTGCTGCACATCATCTGTGAGGCTTTGCACCCCTGATGATCCACCAGGACAAACTCAGCAGTGTGTGAGGAAGAGGAGGAGGAAGAGCCAGCAGCAGCTGACAGATGGAGAGAATAGACAGACTGTTCCCTGTTTGTGAAGGACTGCTAGAAAAGTTTAAAATAACTAATTGTCTGTCCTGAATCAGTCTTATTAGGTAATGTTCAAATAATTTTATCATTCCAGTGTTTTCAGTGTGGGAGAAAGTACTCAGGGCCTTCAAGTTACACACTATGAAAGGCAGCAACAAGTGTAATATTCAGAAACCTAAAGTATGTATCAGCAGCAGAATGGAGCTAAAAATAAATGTTTGTTTCAGTTCTATGAAGCTTTGAGTATTTTGGATTAGTAGCACTGCTGTGTTTGTTGCATCATATTGCTGTAATTGTTTATGTGCTTTATATATTCTGAGGTAAGTTGATCTATAGTGTTACATCATATTCTATAAGGATACTTTCTGCCCAGTTTGACCCATTTAGCAGAAGTCAGCCTGTTTAAGGCTCTGATATCTATTCTGTGTGACTTAAAGCAGTTATGACATGGTCTGATTTTCTCACCCAATAAAGGAATATTTCATATATCAGTCTACTCTTCATTCTATCAGACACAGTTATCACAGCTCGTACATTTGCTTTTTACACATATATGTAAGCATTGAGCCAAATTTAGTAATGCCAACATATTGAAGGAACATTTGTTTCATATATAATACATCTATTCCTATTCCTTGAGTTTAAATCTAGACTTCAGTCATATTATGATTGTTTTGTTAGAATCCATTGTGGTGGTGCACATAGCACAAACTGTTTGTCCAAAAGATTTTGAATCTGACAGTATCTTAACATTATTGTTAAGTCTTTCATATATAATTGTAAAATCTTTTGACTACCTAAAAATCATTTTCTGTTTCTATGTCTTTCAGATGATGCTGAAGATGACATCATCTACTCAGATGTTAAAGTGAAACAGCGTACAAGAAAAGCAACACCACGTTCAAATCAAGATGCAAGTTAGCTTGCCCCTAATGCATTCTGACCTAGCACCAGTCTTAAACCTGTTCATGCCAAGTTAGCAGTTTCAGTTAGAAGCTCTCACCAACATCTTACATATAACACTGGAGATTTAAAAAGCTGTGGTCATTAGTGTTTGTGCTTTTCTTGTGCTGTGCTTTGTATATATAGCAGATAACAGCAAAGGTGAGCTGTGCCTCTCTAAGACAACAGCTGAGTCAAGCATCAACCATCATCTCATAGCTTGAGCATTTTAGCTAATATTCACTGTGTCTGTCATGACCGTAAAACAATGAAACCATGTGATACTAACTTAGTTGCACACAGTGAGAAAGTGCATACTATACATGTGTCTTGCATAACACTGGCTTGTTTTTTTTACTATTAAGAATCATAGCAGATGACAAAATGCCTACTTATTATATCTAACAATACAAAAAACATGAAAGATTTACTCTAGAAATAGTTGTGCTTCTATTACAGTTTGTTATTTAAGTCATGTATTTTCAGTGCATACAGCTTTTTGCCTGCAGCTTAGAGTCTCAGTATTATATGTATCAACCTGCAACTTGTGAGAATAATTACAAGTGTAAGAATGATTGTTTTCCTTTACTTATATTAGTTTCTGATTAGTGGCTCTGTCATATCCTGGAACAATCTGTAAACTTTAGTTGTAAATGAAAAAACAGTTTGAGAAGTTTGAGCTGCAAGAAATGCAGGGATCAGCACTCACCTCATGAATCCAGTGTTATGTACAAATAACTGGAAGCAATAAAATAAAATGGAAATTAATAATTTACTAGCTGACATGACATCAAAGCACTGAAAACACATGAAAACTCCTGAGTTACAGCTTCTTTTAACAGACTGTCTGTTAATATTAACCCTGTGATGAAGCTTTACAGGCTCACCACCAGGTCGCGCCAGTATCAGTGATTTTAGCCACCAGCTGCCTAGTATACTGCAAGTGCTAGCTGCATACATATAAAGCAGACTTACATGGAGAGACTACACAGGCTGAAGGACATGTATGCTGTAAGTACATGTTTATGTCATTTTTTAGTCTAAGTATAGTGTAGCTTTGTAAAAACTGGACTCTTATTGTTAATGCAACAACTGCTAGCTCAGTTTATGCTTCAGCTATCAAACCCATATACAAAGTGACAGAAATGAGCTAACTGGTAGGATCAGCACCTATCTGGCAGCCAGCGTGACGCACCTGAAACTGATAGTAAAACATTACAGCAGTGTGTTGCAGATAATTTGATTCTATCCGTGTAAGACAGACAGAAAAAAAATAAACTTTTTAACTAATTTTTTTTTTTTTTTTAACTCAATCTTGTAGAGTGAGAGGATGGCTGAGGAATGGAGAATTGCACTGGTACCGTTTTTTAATAAATCTAGTAACGTACAGAAGGATGAAGTGGATGAGCCATACCATGATGATAAAGGAAAGTTTTGCAGCTAGGTTAATAAGAGAGAAAATGACGAGTGAGCAAG